GACTTGTTTCTAGAACATTTTATGTCTGCACAGAAGTTTCACTTTATAAAAAAACTCACCACTTTCTCCTCAGTCACAGAGACAAGTAGGAGACCCAGACTGAACTGAGGGTTTTGATTGAGAATCAGGAGGCCTCTCAGAGGGGCTTTATTTTCTTACCAGTATCCTGTAAATCCTATCAGATAACACCTTAAGGAAGACAGGATCCCAGGACACAAACTGACTGCCCCAGGAACTCAGGTTGCTGTCATACTGTGTGCCTGTTGACAGAACAGTGCCATGTGACAGATGATACCAGCTTATCATTGCAAATACCCCTAACACATTTCCGTGCTTGACGCTGCTTTCCAATATTCACCATTTGAAGAGAGCCGCGTTCAGAAAGGACATAGCACCAAGTCTGAGGTTTATTTTCTGGACAAAAGTCCATGCTAGGGGGTTAACACTTCAGGCACAAAAAAAAAAAAGAGTGTTCTTAGTGGACAACCTGTAACTCTAATTGTTGAAAGGTTGTTTTCAGATCTGTCTGTTGTTTTACAAGTTGCTTACCATCCTTGATAGTTTTCCTTTAAAAGGAAATGCTGAAATAAATCTGAAACGCTTCTCTACAACTCAGTGAGCAAAGCATCCCAAATATTCACGGCAAAACACAAAAAAGAACACTTCCAGTCCTCGTCAAGCTAAGTGAGCCTGTAGAAAGATCAGTCTTCTGGGGATATCCTTTTTTTTTAGATTATCATAGAAAGTATATAGATTTTTGTGCTTCAGGATAATTTCTCTTCTGCTGTGAGCATAACTTATAATTTTGTAGAAACAGAAAATTATATGACAGGAAGAAATGCCATAATAACTCAGCATGAAACAAGACCAAATGTGGTCCCATGAAGAGCAATTCTACAGATGTAAAGCCCAGGAGAGCTCTTGCTATGTGTTTGTCTGGTGCAATATGTATGTATGAATGTATGTATGTATGCATGTAAAAACATGTAAGTATGCTTAACTAAATTAGTTAATGTGACTCCGGTGCTAATGGGGCCAGGGTAATAGATTTAATTCTGTGAACCTATTATTTTCATTACCCTCAATTGTCATAGTTTTCATCCTTGACTGTGGCCAGCCACACCATAGATGAGTCTACCTAGTCATTAGAAAAGCATGGTAAGACAATGAAGACAGTGGTAAAGGCAGCTTAAAACTCACAACCACCTGTGTTAGCAGCAAAGAAGTACTAGCTTGGAATACGAAGGTCGGTGTGGTGATATTGATGCGGCCACGTATGACTGGAAGCAAAAGACAAAGACAAGCACACAGACTTTTGAAACCTGGTATAGTCAAGTCACAACTGTGAAAAGTTTCCTTAACATCAACTATTACGGCATGTGAAATGTTATTTCCCTCTCATATGATCATTATAGGCATAAGTCTCTTGGATAAGTAGCAGTCTTTAGACCACAGTTGTTAATTCTTTCCATCTGATAATGGCAAGATGAACAATGCTACCTGAGGAAAGCAGGTCTGAATAAGTACAGTTCTTAGAGGGGGAAATGGAAGCTGGCATCACCTAAAATTTATCTCCAGGCCGTTTTAGTTCAGATTTATGACACTTCTTTTAACTATATCATTTCTGCTTTCTTTGTTGTCTACTAAATTTTTATTTGGACAATCTAGCTCTGCCTTGCCATTCCTTGGGTATTAAAAGAAACATAATTTGTTCCTAGTTGCCAAACTCTCCATAAAGTCACAGAGAAACTGTCTCTTACAGTGGTAATCTCAAAGGGCAGTGATTAGTAAAACAACCCCTAGGAGGAAAATGAATCTTGAGGTGGGATTCAGAGCTGTATAGTCTGCAACAGCCTGTTTTATTCATGATACTGTGAGTGGGAGGCTGCCAGCTGTCCATCAACATACTTTTTCCTTCTCAGTAACAGAGTTGCAGTCAGGAGGTGGCCATCCAGGAAGCTTTGCAGCCACATGTGGCAAGTTTCCAATTCTTGGCTAGTCCATGGTAGCTTGGGTTGTACTGTGTTTGACTTGAGGACCAATCATTCCTGCTTCCTCCATGCTTTTCTGTCAGCTCAGGCCTGAGGAAGTAGTTGATGCGAAAGCCTCAGGACAGATGGAGATGGCTTCTATGAATCACTCAGAGCTCAGCAGCCCTCTGACCTGGAATGACCATTAGAAGGGCAGCCGCTATATTTCTGTGGTTTCCCACTGATATATTTGCAGGTTTATTTGTTATAACAGCTGTAACCACCTTTTCAGGGATTCTAGGATAATGACAGTGATATTGATCACAGAAGTGGGCTAAAGATACAAACGACTTGTACCTAGTTGGAAGTTGTGTGACAAGCATTGTGTAGAGCAACCCTTATAGTTTAGTATTTCACAGAATTATGGATCCTGATGAGAATTAACTGAAATTAAAAGTGGCAAGCAGTTTCCAAAACTCTGGCATTTTACCTTGGAAGAAACAATATTGGGAACAGACTAATGTTAGAGATTATGGAAATACAAGTATCCAAAATCATATCAAAATAATGAGGTTGAAAATGAACAAGAAATTTTCCCTTATTGCATCTGCCAAAGCTTCTGGTCAGTTCTCCAGCAGAAAACAGATGGACACCATATTGAGAAGTGAGCAGTACTGCTTATAACTTTCCCTGTGTGTTCCGTTGATGCCATACTAGCCAGGGGCCTACAATCATAATTAAATCTAAGACTCTAATATCTAGGGAGGTCTGCTGATCAATTAATTATTGATCATGAAACTCAGGCAGAGCTTATAATCAAAAGGCTTTGAATAGAGACAGGATTTGGTAGAATCTTTAGCTTTATGAGTTAATATAATATTTTGATTTTTCTCTGGGATTCCATTTTCTTTTCTCTTTTTTAAAATGGAAGTATGAGGATAAAATAAGATACAGCCAAAACAGTAGTTATCAATAGTAGCTTTAAACATTAAATCGGTGCTTTAAAAAATTAAAAACTTGGAAGCAGGTATGATGGCACACACCTATAATCTTAGTATTCATTAGGCAAAGGTAAGTTGAAGGTAACTCTAATGTACACAGCAAGACCTTGTCTCAACAACACAAAACAAACCAACCCTATCTACTTATCCATATATTTCAAAAGATGTTTAGGAATCTTTGTAGAATGTATTTACTCATTCAAAAATGGCTGTAGTTTGCTGATGACTCTCAGCTCAAAAACAAAAGACAGAAAACAAACACTGAATGGAAGGTTTTTCCTTGAATATGTTAAGCATTCACACGAATGTGGAAATGTCTCATTAATTACCCAATTATTTTGTCTGAAAAGGACATAACTATTTATCAACAAACTTAGCCTATGTCTGCAAACATGACCAGTATGCACACATGGCCACAGACATATCTGCCTCTGCTTGAACCGCTGCTACCTCTTGAAAGAACACCTTGAGTGCTCACATCTGCATTCTTACCGTCTTGTCCACTATCCACACCTTCTTGTGACCAAATCTTGACAAGGTCAAGGTAAATCTTATGAAAATTCAAATACATCTATGCTGTGTTTTTTTAAAGCAATTTGTTCTCACAAAACAAACAGCTCATATTTTTTCTTCCTTCTCTGAAACCACACACACTACATTACTCTACAATATCGTTTTTTGTTTTAATGTGTAACTTTGTTTATTCTACCTTACAACAAGCTTAGTATGATGTTGTGGAGCACACCTATAACCCTAGCACTCTAGAGATTGAACCAGGAGGAACCGAGGCAAGCTTGGGATATATATAGTAAATTCCAGAAACAGCTGGGATACAGTGTGAGACCCTTTCTCAATGTCCCATCCAAGTGGGTAGGGGGTAGGAAAGGGAAACATTTGAAAGAACTCAAAATTTTACATCCTTTTTCATGCCTGTTTCATGCCGCAATTCAATAGGCGGAGAGGATGTGTCCAGTTTATTTCATTTTCTTTGAGGTAGTAGTGAAGAGGTTAATACATAGTTGCATTTCCATGGAGTTTTATTTATATGTGATGTGTGCTAAATATTTATCTTTCAGTTTGAAGTATTTTCCCAGGTGATGGGAACTAAAATGTCTATCACATTAATATCAGTTAAAATAGATCATTTAGATATGAAACAAAGTTTGGAATCAAAATTAGGGAGGTGGAATAGATGTTTGATTCCTTGGAACTCTGGGATAAAATAGTAAGGGGGGGGGAGGGCGAAGCCTTACTAGGCAGGGAGACCCGGACACAGCGGGAGAGGAAGAAGAGAGAAAGGCAGCCACAGACCGAGATCGGCCAAGCATCACATCATTTTTTTTTTTTTTTTACGTTCCGGCCGTAATAACATTTTAAGGATTCCAACCACAGTAACAGCCTTCCTTTCCTCCGTTAGTTAAAAACAAAAACAAAAACAAAAAACCCAAACGACAACGATTATCTTTAAAGAGTCTCTCCCGGCTACTCCACGAAGATCATTTAAAAAGCACGCGACCGGGCTGCGAAACGGAGCCTCCCTGCACCACACAGGACCTCCCCTCTGTGTCTGGCATGGCTCTTCCCTGCTCAGCCGGGGAACCCAGACAAGTTTATTTACACACCCCCCCGCCCGGCGGGCACAAACACACCCGCAGAGAGCGAGGGCGCTAGGGGCGGGAACGCCCTCTTTTCCATCCCTTCCAAACAATTATCTGCCAGAGCAAAAAAAAAAAAAAAAAAAAGCAAATCCGCCACCGCGCCGGCTGCTGGCGGGCGGGCCGGGAAACGTGGCCTCGCCGGCGAGCTAGGGATTTGTGAAAAGGAGCGCTGGCCCGCGTGCGCCTCTTGTTCCCCGTGTAATTTGCAGCCAATCATCGGGAGGTGTCCGCGGCCTGCGTCCTGCTCACCTCGGCGCCGTCGCCACGGCTCGCCCCCGCCCCCGGCTCCGCACCGCCTCCCTCGCCTTTCTCTGCGCTCCCCTCCCCCAGCCACCGCACACACGCGCGCGCACACACACGCACGCACACACACACACACACACACACACACACACACACACAAACAGAGCGAGGGGGGAGGGTGAGAAAGAGAGAGAGAGAGGGAGAGAGAGACTCCCCGGCTCCCTCCCTCCCTCTCTCGCACACAGCGACTGGAGACGGACCCGGAGCAACGCGCTGGGAAGAGCAGAGACCACCGACAACAGCCCCGCGCTCTCCCACACACGCTCACTCTCGGCGCTTTCCTCTCCGCCCCCACCTCCTCCTCCTTCCACCCCCTCCACTAACACCATCTCCTCCTCCTCTCTGCAACAAGAAAAAAAAAGCCATTTACAGGTATTTTTTTTTTGCATCCGCATATTTATTTACCCCACCCCCCATCCCCAACAGTTTGTTTACAAGTATTAAAGTTGTAATTGGGAGCTGCCAAGACACATCTGGATTTGTGTTTCTTTGTGTTAGGGGGTGATGTGCAACTAATTAAAGGCAGACTGGCAGCGTCTGCAAATTCTAAGGCTCCCCAAATAAAAAGAGACTGGTAAGTGATTGTTCTTTCTCTTTCTCTGGCTTTTTCCCCCTCTCTCGTTCTCTCTTAAATGTTTGCTGTCCGGTGGGATTGTAAAAGTAGATTAATGCTGGACTCCAGCAATAAAAACCCGTGGCTGTATTAATTAATTAATTTGCAGCCGCCCCTCCTCCTGAATGTTAAATATGACCTTTGATCTCCGTGTCTCTGGTAGACCAGACATACAGTATTAGGCATGTACAGTCACATTGTTCAGAGGCAAAGCAAGATCATGAAGTATGGATGTTTAATTTAGCTTTAGTATTAGAACTACAGTTAGTGGTGTGTGTTTTATTTTGTTGCTAAATAAAAGCCAAACAATAGCTGTGGCTTAGATACCTTTTTCATGCTCCAGGGTTGCATTGATTAAGCAATAATGACCTGGATACTGGGCACAATCATTTTCTACAGTTTCTGGTGGCATTGAACCTAGAGGTGGGGAGGGGGAGGTGGTGCCAATAAGAGAAGCAAGGACAGCTTGTTTGGAACACCACACTAAGACTCTGAAAGGGGTATTAAATCCTTTCTTTCTTTGGAACAAGGTCAAGAGACTAAAATGTGAAAAATTTCCCTGTACTCAGGGTGATGATGCCTATTGCATGGTTGCCATAACTAGTTTTTAGTGAGTAGCAGTTATTATGGTCTTGCATCTTCAATGCGACTCACAGAAACTGAAGCTGTGGGCATATTCTTGCTGTGTTTTTCCCCAAACCCTTGCAAGTACCAAGAATATGTAGCCAGGAGGATTTGGGGGCACCTTTGTGTTCTCATCAGACCTCTGAAGAAAGCAGTTTTCCTTAATGTGAAACCACAGAGGTGATTCCTGAGTGATTAAGGACTTGCTGTGATTGAAGGATGCCTGTTAGCTTCTAATCCAGCCTTGGGGGAGGTGCCTTATCTTGATTTACTTTGCCTAATAGGGGTTTGTTTACATGAACCCATTTTTTTTAGGGTACCTCCTTAGTAGGTCTTGAAGTTTTCATACTTGGTGTTTGGATGTAAATGGTTCATTAATCTAATTATAAGCATAATTACTGTAATTGATATGCATTTGAAACTCTGAAAATTTGAGACAGACACTACTAGGCCTTCAGTTAAATTCCCTGAACTCCACCAATCTACAGGCTTCAGAAGATGCCAAAGAAAGGTACTCTGTACTCTGGCAAAAAAAAAAGGGGGGGGGGACAAAGAAACTGGTGGTTTCTTTTCTTTTTCTTTTTTTTAGGTGAATATACATTTTACATCTTTGCTTTAATTCTTAAAAGGCTGCAGGGTACCTCTTCCCCCTTTAGTAAGCAACCAAAATACATGAAGCTTAATGATGGCCTGTAATCCGAGAGAGAAATGCAAATACCCAGTTAACATTAAACTTTCTTCTTTAAAAAAATAGCAAAAGAGAAACACATCATGTTAATGGTTCTTTGGGTAAACAGCACCTGAAGGGACTATCCCTCCCGTTCACTCTATGCAGAATCAGTGTTGGTGAAAGATTATTTTAAAGGTCCCTTGCTTTCCTCTTTTCTTGGGAAGAGGCAGCAATCTTCATTAGAAATGATTGGGGCTATTCTCGCAGGGGCAGCAGACAGTTCTGAGCCTGTGACATTGCTTGTATTTGATATATATATATATATTCCATCTTTCTCTTTATCCTTTCTTTTAAACCAGTAGTACACCACCCTCTTGCCCCTGCCAAGCCCCACCACCAAATGGCTTGTACAATTGAGACCTGTCCTTGGTCCATTGAATTAAGACCCTAACAGAGCCAGCTGTGCTGGGATTCAAACTAATGACCGCAGACACAGAAGGACACTGTGGCAGCTGGTAGTTCTTTTTTTCCCTGCCTCTTTGGTTCAGATTGTATGTGGGCAGTCTTGTAGCTCTCAGTTGTATTGTGTTTGCTTACAGTTTATGCTCGGGTGTATTGTAGACTTTCTCACTACTTCATTTGCTAATTTCCTGTTCGTTTTCCTCGTAGGGCCATTGCTTTTTTCTACTTTACAGCATTTGCATGCCCAGGCAGCACTTGTTCACACATTTCATAATGTTTAAATGCCCTCTGCTTATAGGTAGTATCGCCCTCCCACCCCTGATTTGCATGTCTTTAGCACTCCAATTGCCCTTTTCCCTCGGCATTTGTCACCCCTGTCTTTCCTCTTTCCCTGGGTACTCTAGCTATTAATACATTTTTTCTCAGGAGGGTTACAAGAATAGGGGGGGGGAGGAGCTGTGTGCTGTGCTGCGGGGAGGGAGGGAGAGGGGTTGGGAATGTTAGGGGGTGGGGGGCCACGTCTTGATGATTGTTATGCAAACGACCCGACTGGAGAACGTGGGAGCTTTCTGTGGTGTCTGCGGTGGGGCTAGCGAGGGGGGCTGTTTATTTATTTTTCATTTTTCTCCTCGTGCAGCTCGTTGGAATGACTTTCTTTATTTTAGTTGTAACAGTTGGAGGATAATGCAAAGGAAGACGCTGCCTGGGAATTCACCGTCTGTGGACATGCGCCCCAGAGAGGACTAAAGCAGCCCTTACCTTGCTCTCCCCACCCGGATCCCCCTTTCCTGCCCGGCCCAGCCGGTACCCCGACCCCACCATCACCCGCTTCCCTTCCCCCCACCTCTCCCCCTTTCCCGCCCAGGTGTCGGACCAGGCGGTCCCCACTTCCACCCTGCACCCCTTCTTCCCCCCCCCTGCACCATGAACACCAATGTCTGCGTGGAGCCCGGGCCGAGCCCGGAGGCCCCGGGCTTGCCCAAGGAAAGCCACCTGCCCGAGGGAGCCCTGAATAGCCTTGTGGATTACAACTCGGAGATGGAGCGCTACCGCTCGTTTGCCACCTCCTTCTACAAGACCAACGGGGGCGCCTTCCCGCAGGCAGCCAAGATCGCGCGCATCACCACCCCCATCTTCCCCAGCAGCGCCGCCGCCGCCGCGGCCGCCGCGCGCATCGGCATGTCCCCGTGGAACTGCGACAACGCGGCCACCGCCGCCGCCACCGCGATGCTCTGGGGCAGCGGGGGCGGCGGCGGGGGCGGCGGGGGCGGGGGTGGGGGCGGCGGGGCCGGCAGGAAATCCTCCTCGGCCGCCGCCTCCTCCTCCGCCTCCTCCTCGGCGATCCTCCCTGCAGCCGGCGGCGGCGGCGGCGGCGGCGGCGGTGGCGGCGGCGGCGGCGGCGGCAGGACCAGCATGCACCACCGGAACGACTCCCAGCGGCTGGGGAAGGCTGGCTGCCCGCCAGAGCCGTCGTTGCAAATGGCAAATACTAATTTCCTCTCCACCTTATCCCCCGAACACTGCAGACCTTTGGCGGGGGAATGCATGAACAAGCTCAAATGCGGCGCTGCTGAAGCAGAGATAATGAATCTCCCCGAGCGGGTGGGGACTTTTTCCGCTATCCCGGCTTTAGGGGGCATCTCATTACCTCCAGGGGTCATCGTCATGACAGCCCTTCACTCCCCCGCAGCAGCCTCAGCAGCCGTCACAGACAGTGCGTTTCAAATTGCCAATCTGGCAGACTGCCCGCAGAATCATTCCTCCTCCTCCTCGTCCTCCTCGGGGGGAGCTGGCGGAGCCAACCCGGCCAAGAAGAAGAGGAAAAGGTGTGGGGTCTGCGTGCCCTGCAAGAGGCTCATCAACTGTGGCGTCTGCAGCAGTTGCAGGAACCGCAAAACGGGACACCAGATCTGCAAATTTAGAAAATGTGAAGAGCTAAAGAAAAAACCTGGCACTTCGCTAGAGGTCAGAGGAGATGATTTCTTGTTTCCCAGTCTTGCCCCCTCCCTCCTCACCCCCTTCTCCTCTCCCACACAGGGTTTCTTGTCTGGCTTCAAGACGCAGCACCCCCTTTTCTGAAGCTTCTTGCAGGTTGCAACATCCTGCCATAAGTGGTTTGCAGGGGGCATGGCCTCAACACACACCACCCTCCCATCTGCACCTCACCTGGAACAGTCCTTCTCCTAGAAGGGTGCCCCTCCTTTCTTATCTCTGGATAAAAAGCGATTGGTCTAAGAATCCGAAGTTTTACATTTGAGTATGGTTAATATTTTTCCAATGATGGTTTAAACTGTGTTCTCAGGAAAATCCAAAACAAATAGCTCTACCCAAAATATTGAACACATCCATTATATGTATATATAGGACTTAGTAGAGGCCCTGTTATAACACAAACATGTGGCACATAACCTACAGTATATGTACACATATGTGTATAGACCATCTATTATATATCATATATCATATATGTGTGTGCGTGCTGAAATACCTGGACTCAAGGGAGGATTTTTATCCTCTCCTACAATAATTTTCTCGTTAGCCTGATAGAACGCTTTGTTTATTTTATTTTTTGCCTTCCTGACATTTTTTTTTTGAGAAGCAGAGATCCTATAGAGTGCTGAAAGTCAACAGTCATCTTTGAAATGGGACTTGGAGTAAGGTAGTAGTTATTTACTATTGTGGCTAATGAGGGCTTGGTTTTTAAAATGTTTTATGTAGTTCCTGAAAAACCTGTGTTGCTTTTTTGTTATTGTTGTCATTTTATTTCTTACATTTCCCTGGGGTTCTCTATCTGAAAAAGTATCTATTTTATGACTGCAAAATTATTCGAAACAGAGAGGTTTTGCTTGATACCATATATAATGATAGTTTACTTTTCCTATAGGTCCTTAAAATAGACGTTAGACACTAAAGTACTGCTAAACTTAGACTTTTAATTATATTCCAAATTAAGATGGATGAACTTGATGAACATTTTATTTGATATCCTAATCAAAACACAAATGGAAGAAATGCAAAGTTATAAGTATATTGACTTTGTGATATATTAAGAAGGAAATATGGTCAGGCAATCATAGTCTATGAGGAAATAGAGTGAATAAGGTTAGCTGCTTTGTGCATATGTGAGACTGGGCTATCTGTTTAGCATTTGGGAAGGTCTGTGTACTACAGTGCAGGTTAAGTGACTGTCACAGTCTGTCCTGAGGAATACTTACACATTCTTTTAAAAATTAGGAGCATGATCTAGGGATGTTTTCTTTCAGACATTGATAATTGTAGTTTCAACAAATAAAGGAAAAAGTTAAAAGATCTTGCTTCTGGTTTGACTATGAAGAAGATGGATCATTTCACTTTGTTGGGTACATGCCAAGGCTAAGGGACTGGAATTCCCAAAGCCAGAAGCATCGTGGACTGCAGTTCCATCACAACAGTGCATGCATTTCTCTTTATAAAGAAACCATATCTTCTTGGGAGCTTTAATTTTACCACATTACTTCAGTGTTCTTCCTTTGGGCAACTCTGGTCAAGCAAAGATAGCAGCAGCTACAGAACAGGTCCATACATTTTCTCAGAGCACAATAACTAACTTTGGAACTCTCTTTTGGGGGTTAACTTATAATGACTTCTTTAGGTTTGGAAGATCATAGGAAATGAAAATTCACCTTACATTGTGGTTTCCTGTAAATGCCAGTGAATAGGACTCTATGGTTTCTGTTTTGTCTTTGAACAGTAATATGTAATGCTCTAGTTTTGGTATTGTTAGGTCTTAGCTTTAGCTACACTCACTGTGCCACACTATAAGCCATTGTAGGGAATGTAGCAGACAGGGACACTGAATAATTCTTGCTTGTTTAGTTAGTAAGCACTCCAGAGGAGTTCCCTATGATTCCTAATTGAGTTTCAGAAATGTTTCTGGTGTGTTCATCTAAACAGGATTCATATATTTCCTCTCTCAAGATGGTCTTCCACAAACTTTAATTTTTTCCAAACATAGAATCATTATTTTTTGGAAATTAGCATGCACAAAAATTGTGTGGTCCCTCAGAAAGTGGGGGGGGGGTAGATAGAGAGAATGCCCATTGCCCTCTGCAGATATTTTCCTGACTGCAGGTTCTTTCCTACCAGAGCATGGGCTGTGTTTCCAGGGCATGATCATTAATGGAATACTTGGCAGAATGAAAGGGGAAAGTTTTCTAAGTGTCTGAGTGTTTATCTAGCTCGTGAATAGTGTAATGTAATTACAGTGCAGTTACCTCAAACCCACATGCAACCTCAAGCTACAGTTGTAGGACACTTCCAAGACTTCTGTATGGAATGGCAGAGCATGAATGACTGAACCAAAGTTGGAAAAATCCCCTTGCTGAGCTCATTTCCTGTCTCTAATTTGATCCATTATCATCTCAGGAGATGTTTCTGAGGGTGGGTGGACTTTTGTTTGAAGTTCTGGACTTGGATTTCAGTCATAAATTTAGTAGCTAATTAATACTTGTGGCTATAACTTAGGGACCCTTAAGACATACTGCATACTGCACCGATTCCTGCTTAGTCCTCCAAACCCATTTGCCCTCCCTCTTCCCTTTGACCTGTTCTTATCTTAGACACTGAAGGCATAGTGGAGTTGCTTTCAGGCTGTGTAAAACAAGATTAAGAAGAGGCACATGGATGTGCTGAGATTTGAGCCCACATTTTCTTAAGTCCCCCTTTCCCAGCCTTCCTTTAAACAGGACCTATCCCTGTTCAGTCCCATTTTAAGAACAATTTTTGTTTTTAAAACCACTCCTCATTGGCATTCAGTATGGTAATACCCATGAAATAGTGAGTGTTCTATGTTTTGTGTACTGTGTATTTTTATGTCACTGTTCATTCATCAATCACTATATTAACAAATAGCCACTAATTGCTAAAAGCAATTGATACAAATGTGTTATACTCCTGTGGGACAAAATTTATTTTAAAAATGTATGCCCTTAATTAATATTAAGTTCCTAGATGTATTTAAAATATGACCATGTAGGAGAATATTATATTAACTTAATACTTTATCTTGCAAAGGTAATCCTTCAGACTGTGTATATACAACAGTTATTTTTCTGATAAAAGATTTAACTTTTTAAAATCCCAATCTAAAGTAACTCAAGGGATAAAGCTGTCCCATGGGCAAGCCAGGCCTCTTAGTCCCTGAACATTGTTCAGGTGACATGATTGATCTCTGTGGGACAGCATTAGAGACCACACAGATCTGGTTTCTCTCCCATTAGTTGATTTATGGAATTACATTAGTGAAGCTGTGCCTCTGGGAGGTTGCCCTGCCCCCACTCCTGCTCTTCCTGCTGCCACTTTACAGAGAAGAGGTGGAGACACTGGAAAATCAGGGGAAAGGATAGTTTGTGTGTTTTCTTTCTCTCATTAAAAAAAATGTGTGTGTTGGTGTACAAGCCCACAATAGTGTTTCTAGAAGCTAGCTTGAGATTCTAAGGGACTTGATGACAAACACTGTGATATTATCAAGTAAAACTAGATAACTTTATTTAAAAGTGTGTTTTTTAGAAGGGGAGGAGACATACTAGAGGCAATTTTTAAGTTCTCAGGGTCTCAACCAATGACAGTTATGAAATTCTGGACAAAACACTGCTGTAATTTGTGAAGAATGATAACACCACTCTGCTAAGGAAATTCATTTGTATCCCACATCTAAACTTCAGTTCAGAGATGTAGAACAGGGAAATCAGCAAATAACTGAACACGTCATAAAGTTTTGAAGTTTAGTGTTTTTTTAAAATACAAATACACAGATAAAATGTTAATCACTCCTATTTTAAATTGAAACATTTTCCAGTTTTTCACTTCATGTAATAATTTCAAAATGAATTTTCAGTTTTGGAACTAAAACATGCTAGTAAGAAATATTTTTAATACAAAAATGCAATGTATATTGACTATAGGAGGGAAAAGGGAAAATTTCAATAAAATCCAAATAAAAAGACAATTTTTTGTTATGTTAGAATGTAACAATGGTATAATCTATGGAGAAGACCCAGAATCAATGAATGGTAAGGAAAAGACCCCATAAAAGTTCAGTTTTGATCAAAGCCACAACACACCTTGATTGTGAAGACAGTGAACTAACCAGTGAACTTCTCAGCCCATCGCTAGTTTCAGTTCATAGGAGTTCAGGTTGTTTTTTATGGTTTGTGTACAACAGAGCTCATGTTGTATGTAGTAAATTCATGCAACTTCATCTGTCAATCAAAAATGTAGTAGCTTTTGAAAATAGGATAATGCTTCATAAATGAAACCAATACCCTGGTCCATAAACATGGAAAAATCCAAGCAGTCTTTTAAGTCATAATTAGAAGCAGTGAAATAAAATGGGGAAAAAGCAGTTATAGGCTATACTATATAGAAAATATTTTTTTGAAACTTAGACATCCTCAAGCAAAACATAAGCAAACATTTGGAAAACCAATGAGAAAAAAATTTGACATTGAACTTTAGGCTTCCCTTTGATCGCATAAAGCTATTTGGTGAAGAAAGGGGTGTTTATTTAGTGAGGAGGCTGTAAAGGGACTTGAAGTTTTAATGGCTTCATTACTGTATTACCCTTCTGTGGGCCAGTCTGTTTTTCTTTTGGGTGGAATGGAGAGTTTCACACAGCCAGACTTACAGATCCTTGTGGAATGGTTCAGCAAAGTGATCTGTAAGACTGAATTTTTTAAAAACTTGCAGAAAGGATAGAGATGTCTGCCATAATGTCTCAAAGTGGAGCATTATTTGCCACTGAAAACTGGAAATAGGAGTTTTTGCTATGAGCCTTGAAATTGTGTTGGCATGTTCATTTTTGGTATGAAGTTAAACACTTAACTATTTTAATATTTCCCAGGAATAGGCCCAAATGTATTTTTTAAAAGTTGTGGGTCCTCTTAAAATCTATTAATCAATTAGAATTGATCAGATGATCCGAATAT